ACTAATGTTTAAAGCCTTGTGCTTTCTCACTCTCAAGGTATTGTTGCAAGTCATGCCTTGTGTCACTGCTTTAAAAAAAGAATGTCCAAACTACTATCAATATGTGGAATGGTAAATTACAGGAAAGACAATCGCCATTAAAATTTTGAAGCTTCTCTCTACTTTCAGACCAAAACTGCCCCTTAAAATTATCAAAACTTTGCATTTGTAGCATCAACTTACAAACTTGTGTGGGTGCTCCCAAAAAGCTCAATAGCAAAGGCAACCTCCCAGCTGCAGTTACGCCTGGCTACCCCAGGCTGCAGAGACAAACTGAGCAAGGATTCATCCCGTGGCAGCCAGAACTGCAACCATGGCTCCTCTCTGTGCCAGAACTGGAGTACTGACAGCCAAAGCAGTGAGCCTTGCCCAGCACAGCAGCCCATGCACCCAGCTCTGACCACTATCAGTACGTCTAAACAAAGACAAGACACTGCAGTGTGAGATGTGGTCTGCGTGAGCAGCTGCAGCAGCGACTGCGGCTTCCTTTCCCAACCACCGAGACTCAAGCTGGAGAGTTCATTCCAGAGCTTGTGGCCAACTAACTGGTCACAACTAACATGCACTACTACCACCCTAAGCCTGGGGTTGTACAAGAGTGTGCAAATACAGCCTGTGTGAAGCAATTTCAAGAACTGTTTATCAGTAACTACTCACTGCACTTTTGGGGATGAGCTGCAAACCCCTGGAGTGCTCTGGCTGTAGTTCCAGCAGAGCTGACACCATCACACACTGCCAGCATAAGGGAAAGGCCCCGGGATCCTCCCTTCCCCAGCATGCAAACCCGGGCTGTTCCTGGAACTTGCCCCACTGATCATCAGACACTTTCTAAACTAATTCAACGTACTAATCCAATAAAAGTTTGCTGAGGTGTTGGTTTCAGTTTTTTTAGATAAACTCATTAGGTTTCTTGGAAGCACAGCTCCAATCACTCTAAGTAGCTCTTAGAAAATATATTAAAAAGACCAATGGCAGAATTGAACTCTTGTTTAAGTAAGTGAATAAAATTTCTGCTTTAAATGGAAATGTTCTACTTTCACCTTCAAAACTTAGGCCAGAGGACAAATTGTAAATCCAGCCCATCCTGCCATCAGCTGAAAGAAATCACCCACCCTCCTGTCAGACTCCCCTAATTCACCTGCATCTCAGATGCAGACCAGAAAAAAGGGCAGCCTGAAAAGATGCAGCCAGCAGACAGCTCGAACTGAGACACTCCTTATTCTGGAGACATCCCTCACCACTACCTGCCACTTCCACCTGAGCCTACATGGACATTTTGTTTTGGCTTTTCAGCCCCAGAACTGTGACACGGCTCAGTCCCCAGGGCTGCACACGCTATGTACCCACTGACGCCTCACTTGTGCTGCTGAGCTGAAGAGTGAGCTTTTGACACACTCCTGACCATAAAACTGAAGAGAAGCCAACTCTGTATGCTATAAAAACCCAACAGAAGCCATCATGTGAGCTCAGACCTTCCACTAGATCCCTCGGATGGGCAGGAGGGTTATTTGTGTGTACATGTGCTGGAAAACCATTAATGTCACCACTAGAGCCTTCCTGCCCACACCATGTTCTTGCAAATGAATGCATTTATGTGACACCCCGAGCTGCAGGGGTGTATCTGTCTGCAGGGTCAGGCTGCTGGAGCGATGGGCAGCATCACGTGGAGTCAGCAGGTTCCTGAGTAGCCCAGCAGCTGCAAGGCTCTCAAGGGCACAACGACACTGTAGGAAAACCAGCTGACCAGTCTGCAGCTTGACACCAGCAGTCCCTGGGAGCCACAACTCCATTCCTTGAGGGAGCACTTCAGATCCACCTCTTGATGTCTTGGATGCAACAGGCTGGGAAATCCTTTGGCTGCTGGCTCTGTTCACATGACCAAGCTGGCAGGGAGGTAACCTAATCTTAACTGGTTCCACGGGGCATGGGATCACCAGCTCAGCGTGCTGGCTGAGAGACACCACAAGTGCTTTAAAGATTGAGTCAGCACAGGTTCCTCGATGAAAATACAAATCCACAGCACTACCTGGCCTACAGTCCAAGTTGTGTGAAGGAACCACAAATGATTTTCCCATAGGACCAGAATTTTTCCACTTAGCTCTCTGAACACTAAACTAGACTCCAGCTTAAACTGAGTGAGAGAAATGAATCACCGCCTACAAAAAGAGAAACACATAGTTATTCTGCCTTTCTCCAACTTCCCGATCAAAACTTCCATACCCTTTCCACTGTCACAGAACAGTTCATTAGATGGTTGAGATAACAGAAGTCCCACAAGGTACATAACTGCTTTTGTGGTCAGAGATAAATATTCCTCAATATGTCACAATGGGCTGAGCATTCTCACCTGAAAGTGATTCGTACTTCAAGTCCCTTCCCTTTCCAGAACAGAAAATGCTCCAGAGAAACAAAATACGGTTTGAATATGTTTTTTGGTTTTCAGACAAAAAGCTGCTAAAACCAAGTGTAGCCTTTTGAAGTTTTGCAAATTAACCTCAGCTGTCCATTCCACTGCCTTGCCTATCACATTCAAAAGCTGGCAACAGAAACACCAGGAAGAACAAACTCTTACTGGCACTGAAGATCTAAGGACAGCATAGAGGAAAGCAAGACCATACAAGCCCAGCAAGGCGGGGCTATTGTATTCTGCACCTACTGCCTCCAAAAGGAGCACTCGAACCAAGCAGCAGCACTGTGACACCTACTTTCAGAGGCTGCTCCCTCCCAAGGATGTGTCCTCCCATTTATTTCTCATTTCCAGAAGTGCTAGATCAGGGGGTGGGAAGGGAGAGAAGGGTTATTTCCTGCCACATATAGCATCTTCCTTTTTATAGCATGGTTTTCTCCACACCTGAAGTGAAAAGAGACATCTTATATTTACATCCCTCTGTGTTGTGGTGTGTTTTGCTTTGAATCCACGTTTGCTCTCTGTTCTACCTAATCCCCTTTCTTCCCCAGTTGCTAAATTTCCCAAGCCCTTTCCTAACTTCCTCCTTTCCAAGTTGTCAACCCTCCCTATCCCTACCCCTTTCTCCAGAGAGTTCTGTACCTGTCTTGTTGCCCTCGACACCCCATTCGTTACTTGGTATTACTCTCCCCCCATTTTCCCTGATAGGCTCAGAAGCTATTTGCCCCTCCTTATACTCCTCTCTTACCATATCCTCATTGGTTCCTTTCCTACACCCCTGTTCCTGAGCTGCTGTATAAAAACTTCTGTTCACCCCCCTCAGCCTTGTCTGGGAGCCCAGGAATAAATCCATCTTGTTCCACCCCACGCCCCGTGCCATCGCTGTGTGTCCCTGCCGATAACTGGGATTGCAGAGCTCGCAGGGGACAGTTGCGCCCCCGCCGCAGCCGCCCCGCAACACCTCTGGGTATAGTGCTGAGCAGCAAACGGCTCATGCTGAGAAAAAACACCTTATGCTAAGATGGGCTGCCAAAAACTGAATTCATGTTCCATGTTCCTTACCAAACAAATAAATATTTTCAGTTTCACAGCTACCAGATCCAGCTACACAAGCCTTGAATATATCTAGAGATTCATGGCTGCGTGAAGCCAAAATAGAAAATAATCCTTTGTGTGGTTCCTTTCTACCTAGATTCACTGGGCTGTCAGAGTCCTGAATAGGAAACCATTTCCAAAGCTGGATAAGCACAAAAAATTCTTCCACTGCTACCCATGAACAATCTTCAGGAGAATGAGGAAAAGTTTGTCAAGGGTTTGTACATCACAGCTGTGGCACATCCTGTGACACAGCGCCTGCAAAAGCTGATCTGACCTCAACGTTTGCACAATGCTAAGAGCAAAGCTGGGCTCTGCTTCACTGGACAGAGAAGTTGGAAATTGCACAAGAGGAGGATCACTAGGTGATACGTAAATTGTAACCAGTCTTACCCAGTACTCCAGCTCCTGTCCTCCAGGGATTCAGACTGCTGTGATTTAAGTACCACTGTCCTCAGATGATGTTCCCACCCACAAGTTACAGAACTTACCACATGGAAGCCTTTTTGAGTCACATTTTTCAGTCACAGCTGTCACAGTTCCACACCCTAAACCTAAATCTCCACATATTCCATTTTGTATTGATAGAATATTGGCTGTGGCCTGCAGCAACTGCAGGCACTTAAGTCTGCAGCCACTGCACCTGAATCCCAATGAGGCTCACAAATCAGAATCCTCACCCTAATATTCACACTTCCTTAACAGCACAAAAGAAATGTGCCTTTCAGAAATGGAGAACTGAGATGCAACCCTGAACAGCCCAACATAACATGGCAAGTCCATATTATATCAGAATAGAAAGCAAATCTGACGCTCAGGCCCTTTACTACAAATATTTAAGTTGGAATTTCTCAGCCTTAATCAGCCTTAATCTTACGAGCTCCACCTGCCACCAAGTCTTTTGTCAGAATCCTCTCCTTTTGGAAGCAAATTGACTGGTGTTCAACAGGCAGTAATACCTAGCCCTGTAAAAGATGACAAGGAACAACTATCTGCACAAATTAGAGAGTCTCCATTTCTCTCCCTGTGTGTCAGCTGTGAAATTGGAAACAGCTTTGGACTTCAAGGAGGTAAGTACAGCCTCTGACAGTCTTCTCCTGGAGTGGCTCTTCTTATGCAAGATCTATTTCTGATCTCTGCCTGACAGCAAACACATCCTCAGGCATTTCCAGGAAGTCCCAGACAAAGGCAGTAGCAAATGGCCAATCCTGACCCAGCTGTCTCTGGGAGGGAGGTCAGTTGGCTCAGACTAAAGCAAGGGACATTGCTCTGTACAAACAGGAATGAAATGGCATCCTGGACAGTTTGGAGGGAGGAACACATTGGAGGTAATGTAAACATTTTGCACAAACAACTAAGCAGTTAACACCTCACTACTGACCTAGGCTGGATTTTAGCCAACACTGTAAATGGGGAAAAAAACTTAATAAACCCAAAAACACTAGTAAACAATACACTGTCTTTTTTAGTCCTTTATTTATCCTTACACATGCAGAATATTACATTAACCCTCCTTTTGCATGTCATAATTTTCATTTGCTGCTGCCTTCCCTATGAAAGCTTCTAGAAGTCCAACAGGATCTGCTCTCCTCTGCCAAAACAAAAATTAAATAGTCACAAACACCAAACAAGCAGCCACTGAACTGACCCCTCAGGGAAAATTTCCAGGGCCAAGGCCTCTGGACAAAATACCAGCTCCCTTGTATTCCTACAGGAAGAGGGGCTCAGCCAAGCCAGCTATCTGAGGAACCAGACCCTTCCTGCTACACCAGAGTGCAGCTACCCCACAAGCACTAGGTCAAAACACAGCGCTGCCATTCTACAAACATCTGACAAATCTGGTACAAAGGAGATCTCCATTAGACAAAAGAGTCCAAGGATGGGAACAGAACCAGCAGGAAACAAGACACTGGATTTTAAACCACAGCTCTGGTAACAAAAGCTCAAGGCTTCAATGCAGAGATGTGCAGCATCCAGCTACAACAAGCAACCCTTTACATGCCCATATATGCCCCCTGAAAAGAGGGCAGATAAGGGCATTTTTAAGCCCTGTGTTCGTATTTGGTTGAAATTTGTACAACTGAAAATTGTCATAAAAAGCACTGAGGTTATTACAACACATGCTGGATTACTCTTCAAGCAGCTTCTAAGCAGTACCTTAGTGTGAAATCAACAGTGGCAAATCACAACATTGTGAACACACAGCAGTGGTCTCCAAATCTCTGGGCAGCAGCAATCCCGGTGTACTTGTGCTCCAGAGCCCTCAGGTGGAAATGAGAAGGGCGTGGATTTGACCTCTCAAGGGGACCCCTCGCAACAGCTGTAAAGCACTTGTCAGCTTGGAGATCATAATTTGCTAAGTGCCGATTCTAACTCATCTAGGGAAGGAAAACATGTTACATCAGGGTTTACAGGAGCACAGGAGTTCCACTGGACAGTGAGCACCCTGGAGTGAAGGATACAGTTTCATAAGATGCAGAAAAGCAAATTAACAGCTCACCGCTGCCAAAAATGGAGAAGTTTTACTCCCTCTTCCAGACATGTGCTGCTGCCACTTACTTGTACAAGCTCTGGCTCTCACAAGATCCCTCTATGAACCAGTCCAACAGAATACACAGCCAGTGGAAAAAAGCTGACTGTCTTCTTTTGGGTCAGGGAAGAGATGAACACAGCAGTCAGCAGGAAGGGCCATGTCCAAGCAGTCAGAAAACACAGAAGGTGAAAAGATTAGGAAAAGTAAAGCCATCTCCCCTTTCAGCAGCAGCAGGACCACCACCTCTGACACCCCAGCAGCACACAGGCAACACACAGCCAGTAACAACATTGCTGAGGATCCCTGTGATCCTCTCCATCTGCTTATGTAAAAATGGGTTTGGACACAGTCGCAGCAGACAAAATACTGTCAGAGCTTGCACATTCCAAGTTAATTATCTGCCTTTTTAAAAGTAACAGAAACAGGAAAGCATGTGGACCTTATTACCAATAAAGGGAAGAGCAGGATCTGCATGGTTATGCAATAATGGACATAGAACTTGAGGGGGAAAAACCAGCATCTTTTAAGCTGTGGAAATCCTATCCAGGCAGCATAAACAGATCTGAATATAGACCCATCTAGGCAAAGTGCCAGTTACAAAATTTGAGACACACATAAAGATGATGAAATAAAAGACTGAAATACTAGTGTAAATTCTGAATTCATTAAAAGAATTCTGAATTCATTAAAAGCATTAGAAGCACAAATTCTGCCAATGAGATGTAGAGTGCCCTGGCTACCAGCAAAAGGAGGACTCCAGTAATAAAGAGTGGGGATACTAAAGAGACTCTGTAATCATACCCATATTTAGTACAGTTTTATTGAGGCATTCCTATCCTGAAGGCTCCTAAATGGGATATCAGAATGCAGACTTGGCAGATTTTAGACCTTGAAACACATACTTTTCATTAGCTTCAGCAACTTCCCATTCAGTAAGTAACAAGCATAGCTCCCAAAAGCATAAATGCAAATAATATTCAACAAATGCAAATCTACCCTTAAAAAACCAAGGTATATCAAGATTTAAAAGCCTGTGTCAATAAGGAGATACAGAGTCACACCAAATCTCACCCAGATAAAAGGTTATTATATTGAGATATAAATAAAGACTTTGTGGCCTGACCTGCCAACCACTCTGAAGTGGGTTGTCTCCCTTCTTTTAAAATGGGAACTTGTGTCAAATGTGGTTTAACTGGCTTGTTAAAAATCTAATTATTAAGGAAGTACTCTCAAAATGGTGGATGTTTCTTTTAAGAAGTTTTCATTTCTGCAAAGGTTCTCTGCAACAGGGTGGGAACAGACTTGGAAGCAATACCAAAATCTTTGTAAGCCAAAAAGTGTAAGTCATCATCAAAAACTGACTTTACACAAAGCGCTGCCAAAAGCACAATGTAAACTCACAGAACAGGGCAGGGGGAAATGACAACAAAATATTTCACATTTTTCAGTCATGTGGATCTTGGTACTGCTTATAACTATAATAGGGAGAAAGTTTTAAAATGAAGCTTTCAGTCTGATGAGCACTGCACTGTAACTTAAAAATAACCCAAGTTATTGCAGATAGTGGGCAAGCAACAGCTTTGAAAGACAACAGAGTACAAGGGGCCAAGAAGCAAATGGTTAAAAAACTAATTAAAGCAGCTTCTTTTCACTTTAAAAACAGTTTCTGGGAATGAAAGGAGGACAGTGTTTCAGAAATGAATGTGGGAACTGGTCCTCCAGTCCACTCTGGGAGATGTGGGTGGCAATTCGATGGAGACTGCTGATGGCTCTGTAGCTGCAGAGCTCTTAGGGGTGTTTTTTTGGGTTTTTTTAGCATTGGCAGAAGAATGTGGCTCAAGAGTTTCACAATGTCATGACGCTGGCCCACTGCAAGAAAGAAAATTGTTAAATCTAGATAGAAAACTAACATTTTTAGAACTGGAGTATATTTGAGCCAGTGGATGGAGAAGAGATGGAGAATGTTTAAGGTTTTCTTATCTCTTCCTACATGAGAAGGTAGATGACCCATCACTGTACCTGTCATCTGGTATCATGACACAAGTACCAGTCACAAGTCTCTTGGTTGTTTCAGCAGCAGCAAGAGAAATAGTGAGCATATTTTACCAAGAGCAGTATTAGTAAAGCAATTAAATGCATGACAGCTTCTTCATCTCAGTGCCCTGAACACAAGTTGTTGCTGTTATTTGATAAAGAAAAATGTTATTCTATCAACCAAAGGCTGCTACTCACAAGAGAACTCTTGACTGCAGAAAAGAGTAACTGAGGAAAAAATTACAAAGACTAAAAAGAAAGTATATTTTTGAGAGGTAAAGATGACTAAGAGAGACCGATCTCCAGCACTGACCAAAAATGGAAATGGCAGCAATACTGAAATAGAAGCAGCATGAGAATAAACTTCCCTTTCGGAGGTTCATGAAATAAATCCTTCTTCAAATTGCTTTCTAAAAAAGGGTTTTCAGCATGATCTCTGACTGTCCCTCCACCAATCCTATGATAAAAGTCACCAATCCTCTGAGAAAACTGGAGAGACTGCTTTGCACAAGTCTAGAGAAGTCAAGATTCCCAGGGCCTACATATTTGCTTCACTGAAAATTAAGTTGACTTCTTTGTCTCAGCTCATCATGTTCTTCCCCGCTATGCCCTGAACTAGGGCACAGAGGAAAAGAGATGAATTTTCTCATCAAGTACCTGGATGCACGCATATTTTATATGGACGTGTACTTACATCACTCACATCCCATTACTGCTGGGTACTTTAAAGTTAACCTGCTCCACCTCAACCACACTGGCATCCACAGCCCTCAGAGAAACCCAGGGACCAGACTCTGCACTTACACATCCAATGTACAATGACAACGACAACGTCTCACACATGCACAGCAGTGCAACTGCCCCCTCACCAAGAAAAATATTCCACTTCTGTTTTTGTGACAAATGCAAGCCTAGAGTGTTTAAAGCAGCTGGAAAACAGAGCAACTCCGGCTCCTTTTCCCCCTCCAATATAGAAAACAGCAAAAAAAAAACGTTGTTTCTGCCAAGCAAGTACTGAATACACTGCATTCCATTTCATTAAAACAATTATTCAAAAGCCAGCCAAGAATTACATAAAGCTTCCTCTCTGCACCACCCCCAGCCCCTTCCTTCAACCCCTCCTCCCCAGCAAACAGCCTCCCGACCCTGCAAGGCCAGGACCACACCAGAGCCACCCTCCGAATGCCTCGCAGCCCCCTGGCTCTCCCACCCCACACACAGCACTTTCCAGACCCAAGCAACACAATCAGGGGCTCCAGCAGACCCAGACAGCCCAGAAGCTCTCAGAGTTTCACAGCACCACAGCCAGACCATGGTGATCTGTTTCAAGTAGACATCTCCCTCACATTTGATGGGAAAGTAGCATCCAACAAATGAAGCCCTTAACCAACCCTACCAGAAAAATGAATGATAACCTAACAGATTTTCTCTCTAATTCACACCAAGGCTTTTAAGCGTGACCCCAAGACAGGAGGTGCTGGAAGCACTGGATTTAAGCAGTTAAGAAGTACAGGAGCACAATGCCAGAGCAGCTGTGAGGCACTGCCCAAGCAAACTGCTCAGGACAGCCAAGCAGCAAATCTCAGATTAAGTACAAACAGGATAGATTGAAAACTACAAGTTTAGGGTTATAAGAACATGACTGACAAATTAATCTCAAACTCCACATAGCCACTCTACAGTTCTCAGCCTGACTGACAGTGCTGAGCTCCTCAGAGAAATAAAAGGCAGCTTCTTCAAGTGCAGCTCACCCACTCACAACACTGAGTTGGCCACTGATAAGAGATTCATGACGTGGATGAAATGGCATTTCTTCCCTCCCCCAGTGCTCCAGCTCTCTGCAGGGATCCTGTCTAACTGCTGGAGTTGCTCACAGCCAGGCAGAATAGTTCCAGCTGTGTGTCACACTGTCTGACCAGGCCTACACAGCCCAAAAGAAGTCTCCCATATAAAACCATAATGAACAGGAGCTTCAAACCATGAGTACTACTCTAGGCACCTTACTCTTGGGGATCACCTCTGCCCTAAAGGGGTCATTTGCTAGCAGAGAAAGAAAAAAAAAAAAAAACAAACAAAAACCAACAACCCAAACCTAGTCCCGAGGCAGCTAGTGGTGCTGAGAAACAGTGAGCAACAGATGCAATTAATGGTAAAACAAGATGAGCAACAGAGAACAACCAAGCCAACAGCTCATTCCAGCTCATAGGGCACCAGTAACCTCAACTGACATGCAGTTAGCCCTAGGCTTTTTTGCCTGACCCAGCTGAAATTAGTGGCTTCAACCCAAAAGCAGCTTTTTCACAGAGATGCCCTGAACTGGTTTAGAACCATGAAAGAGGATAAAACAAGGGAATACTAAGCCCCTAAGCCATGGCAAATTATTTACAGCCCTCCTGCCCATGACCTTTTCTACCTCTGGCTTCTTTTACCACCTCCTGTTCTTATTAAAACTCAGCCTAACCACAGTCCCTGAACCACTTCCCCATAGCACAAAGTGAAATTCTCTGTTGACCTTCCTCTTCAGCAATGGAAATAAAGCAAGATCCTGTGAGGCATCTAGACAGACACAGACAGATTAATTCTGTCTGCCAGCTCAGTTCTGTGACAAAAACACGGGACTGGTTTATTCCTGGAGCCCCCATACAGTCTGATTTATAGCTGAGCCATTTAAAGCACAATTCCCCATGCAGAGTGTCATTCAGAAGGTTTATTCCCTGGAGTGCCATTTACTTTTTTTTATGTTCTTCAAATGATTTGCAAAATGTTAGAGGTTTAAACACATGCAATAAACAGTAAAAAACCACAAGAAATCAAGCTACACTCCACTGCATGCTGCCAGCCAGGCACTCCGTACCTCACCCAGCAGAGCCATCTTCACAGATGTGCTCATGGTAATAAGGACACTGTGAGAAGTGGCACGACAAGCTGCACTGGACAACTTCAGACTACCTCATCATCATTTAAATAACTTGAACTGAACTTGTTCACAGGGTAGAGACAGTCCAGCTCAAGGAAAAGGAGCCAAGCACTAACAATGCAGGCTGCCTCCCCCTGTGGCCTGCCATAAGTTCTTCTGGCTCCTCAGTTTACAGTTGTCTCAAACTGCTTAGATAAATTTTCCATGTAAATTCAGAATAGTTACTGTCTGCTAAAAGAAAAAGCCGCATTTGTGTGAGTAAAAAAAAAGAGTTTACCAGACTGCTAAACAGCACAAAAACATAACCTCAGGGACCCAGTTCCTGTAACTGAAACACCAACACCAAACTTGTTCCACAGCACTCCAGTTGCCAGTTCAACTTGTTTGCTTCATCGGGATTTAAAAGCACACATGCACAGAAGAGAAAGCATGGAATTTAACACCCATCAGCCGAGGGAGACTGTCCCCAGCCAGCTGGTTGCTGCTGCTCTGGGGTCGTTTGCAAAGAGAATGAGCATGAGTGGGAAAAACAGCTAAAACTGATCTGAGGAAGTCATCAGCCATCTCCTATTTTTTATGGTATATCTTTAGCACACAACATTCCTTGAATGACTTCATGACGCTCTGTGGTAAAGGGAAAGACTAGGGTAGAACTACTGCGGGGAACTTGGAAGGGAAAGAAAATCTTTTCTCCCTACTCACAGCCTGTCATAACGGGGGGTAAGGAAAGGATGAGCAATCAGAAAGGCACATAGGGAATATTCAACGTGGCTGAGAAAGGAATAAAAATGTGTAAATCTAATTCAAACTTGACACTGTAAACTTTTTCAGCAATAGTGACCAGAAAAGCTTGAAAGAAGCTTTTCAGCTGGAAGCTATTTCAGAAACACAAAGATCTCAACCAACATAACCACACTTTGCAGGTAAGAAGAAATTACCCGTTTCACACACAGAGAAACAACATGTCTTAAGTTAGGGTACATTTTTGAGGCTGTGGAGAAATGGTTGCCTTATGCTATATTAAACATAACCCATCAATGAAAGAGGTAGCCTCACTTCCCAGTCTACTGTCCATGTAAAAAAATGACTTTGAGAAGAATCAGCTTGCTGATGCAGTTAACTGTCCAACAGTTATTGTGGACACAAGCAAGGGAGATGGCCACAGGGAACACCTCAGCAGCCAGCACTTAAATCAAGTGAAACCAATTTGATATCACAACTTATTCACTAACCCATTCAACTTCAACCGAAGTGGAAAGTAATGGTGCCACTTCTTGCTTCTACTCTGCACTACTGGATGTAGTAATCCTGCCACAGATGAGACAGTTCCCTACTTAACATTTTAAAATGCAATTTCTTAATAAGACATGATAACCTGTACTCCCAGGGTTTGTTACTAAACCTCAGTTAGCTAGGACAGGCCTCATGATAGTGTGAGAAAGCTTCCCACAGACAATGTCTCGCTTTCATGCAGCTGGAGCAGAAGAGCATCTTCATTAACAGCTTCCGCATCAGACAAAAAGGGACACACAGGATCAGTACACAAAGAAGGAAGCATAGGCTGAGACCAGAGCAGGAAACTGGGACCAGAGATCCTATTCACTCACACTGATTTTCCATTAGCACATACAACTGCACTCAGAATCTGCTCTGGCTGTCTCCAAAGCTGCATCAGATTCAGGGTATCACAACTAACACATTAGTTTGAGTCAAACAGATTTGTTTTGTCGCCATGGACAGGCTTTTCACCCCTCTAGTTACAGCACTTTAGTATAAGGGATTTATCTGTCTGAGCAGCAGATCAGAAAACCAACTCTGATCTATATAGAAGTGCATTATTAGTCCTCGTTCTGCTGCCGAACTTTAAAATTTTAGCTGTCATTTCTACAGTTTCACAACTTGTTTCATATAATAGATAGACTTCAAAGGGCAAGAGGTGAGGAAAAAGGGGTCCAGAGAAACTGAAGTATCATGATTCCCTAAGAAAGAAAGAAAAAGGGGAGCGAGAGATGAAGATGTATGAGAAGTTTCCCATTTGTTTCTCCAGTGGCAGAGATGGTGTTGGAGGATCAGTTTTAACCAGGAGGGCAGCTGAACACTTAGGATAAGTTGACCTCTCCCAGCGAGGGACAAAGGAGCTAAAGACAGCACAGAGCCCAGCCTTTCCGTGGAAATAGAGCAACAAGAAAAGAAGCCTCTCTCTGCATCGCACACTGCTTGAGGCAGAGGACTCCCTGTCTGAGTTGCTCAGGACAATGAAGTCCCTGTTTTACGAGGGGTCACAACAGCTAAGGAGCTGAAACAAGTCAGAACCCCATTGTGCAGAGCATTAGTTCTGTTTACAGTCTTCTCGCCCAGCAGCAGGAAGGACTCAGAAATCTGAGCCAGTAGAAAACCAAGGCACCAAATTACTTTACCAGTGCTTCCCCCCAATACCATTTCCTGGGCGTAGCTGACCATAAGCAATTTCACAGCAAACTCTTAGTCAAGTGAGCCTAAATCCCACAGCATAAGACTCCCAAACTAAAGGAATTGAGCCAGAAACAGGCAAGCATCCCCCTCTGGAAAGGGACAGACAGCACCGCCCTGCAGAGCACAGCAATCTTCCAAATGTTAGGACAGATGACAGATGGAAACACATGCACCTCCCTCCACACTCCCATGAAAAATCAATAGCAAGATTGCTCCCTTTAAAGTCAATCTTGAGAGGATTAAGCACTGAAGAGAGGGTGGATTAGAGTTCCTAAAACAGAGGAAAACAACTAATAAAGCAAAATCTCTTGTGCCCTTGAACTATGCACCCAGGATTTTGAAGTCACATTGCCAGAAAAACCTTATGCAAAGGAAAAATCCTTCTAGAAGTGAGCAAGCACACCTAAAAAAAGCAGCTCACAATCTAGTTGACGTGGACAGACAAAACACTGCCATAAATACGTCCCCATTAAACAGATATATCTTCTTTGTAAAACACCTTTTACAAGCTCCAGTGAATACTGTTTTGTTTTCAATTGAAAAAAACAGTTTAAAAACATCTGAAGCCTTTGAAAACAAACAAAAAAATTTAAATAGCAGTAGATAAGTGAGAATTTCATCAAATGAAAGCTTCTAAAAGCCACACCATTTCTGTCTGGAGTTACCAAAAGGTTTCCCAGTAGTATTTGCAAATAACCCTTCCAGAAAAAGGCAGTAAAAAACCTTTGGCGTCAAAATCCAACAGTATTCTGACTAAAGCAAATGTGAAGTTTCTCTTCTCCTACTCCTCTCACCATAAGTACATAACAGTTTACACAAATTAGGTTTCTTCCTCTGCAACAAGCAAATCCTAATGGATCTGTTCCCTCATACTACTTAGACAAGGTAGCACCACCGAACCAGTAACCAACATCTCATTCAGTGTCTCAGCTTGCCTGAAGCAAGTATGTGTGGATGATCACTTGTGTGCTGGAACACAGGCTGTGCTTTGGCAATCCCCTGAAAGGGGCAAGAGCCCCAAATCTGGGTTCTCACTCTTTAGGACAAAGCTGTACTCTCTGTGCCAATTTACAGCACTGCAGAACGGCAAATTCATTCAGCAAACTTCCTGTCAAACTCCAAGCACATCCGCAAAATGCGCTTCCTCAGAGAGACTGGAGGGAGAGGATCTGGACAAGCCTGGCCAGCTGCTCCTCCCCCTTCCCACCACGGGCTGTTCTAGTTTACATCCAGCCCAGCACTGCGTGTCCTGTGCCACAGAGGCTCCTCCAGAACAACAGGGTGCACAGCTCCAGCCTGCAGAAAGTTTCCTGTGGGAGCTTCTTCAACACTGGGGGAGGGGGTAAAAAGGGAACAAAGATTTTTCTCAACTCCAAACGAATCCTCAAAGCAAGACAAATCCATTCTCATATGTTTCATAAACTCTCCAGTCCAAGAACAAAACTGAGATACTTCTGGACCTCCATTTTACATTGGACATGTACAGACTGATCAAATCCTCCAGCTCTAGGAAAAGGGAGGACATTTTTGATAAAGGCAAGGAGTTAAGAACAGACACACCAATGGTCTCTGTTAGGGCTTCACTCATGCCCAGCAAGGCCCTTCACTCACTTATTGGCTCATTTCTGTGCCACACAGATTCAGAAGCAAGGTATGGAAGTATCTGAGCTGATTTAACTTGACATCAACTCTGCACCTACAAGTCCCAGCTAAATATCAAACTCCTTTTGGGCCAGAACTGTCCCTGGAAGCAGAGCAACTTTGCCCACATGGCAGTGTGCCTGAACCAACAAGTCCTGCCTAACCAGCTTGACTCTGGACAGAGCCAGTGCAGACGTCTGTATCCATGGCACAGTTAATCCACAACTCAGATAATCCACCCATAGATAATGAGGAAAGAAAAACAAACAACTCTCACTTAAATTTGAAAGTCTGACTTATTTCAGGGGAGTTGTATCAGCACAGCACAGTTCCATTATGTGTGCTCCCAAGGTGAATGGCTTTAGAGCAGTAAGTGAGCCATTTTGGGGCTAACAATGATTTGCAGAGGAAAAACAGCTGGTGTGCTTTTCCATGGTGAATTCTGTACACCGCAGAAAAGCTTAGAGAGAGAAAAGGTCACACTTTTTTGTTCAGCTGCCTACTGTTAATTAGATCTTGTCCAGTCTGAAAGGCTGCACAAAAATTGAGACAGGCGCAGTGTAATTAAGACTTGATGAAATCAAGTTGCTCAGACTAAAAGGTCTAACTTTTGGTTGTCCAAATACTCTTTAGAGCTCAGAAAAACAAACCAGGCACAATTTCAGATCTTTTTCACAATTTCTTTGCAGTTCACCTCTAATTCTCCTACAGAGGAAAGAAAAAATGTTAAGGGACTGTGGCAGCCTATTCCAACAGCTGGGAAGTCACACTACCACTGTTCAGGAACGCAGCTCTTGCAGTGGGCACAGTGAGGCTGCCATGGTTTACTGAAGAGCATGCTGGTGAGACACTAAACTGGCCCTACACTGACCTGTATGCTCACCTTGAAGGGCTACTCATCAAGTCAATACACAGACTGGGTGAATCCTGTTCTGACTAGCAATGCATTCCTGAACATGCTAGGAACTCGCACCGAATCTCCAAGAGATAACAGAATGAGGGATATGGGAAAAGGTAAACAGAGCTGTCTCCACTTGAACAATAACCATGAAAAGAAGCAGCAGCAGAAATTACTTCTGTTCCCACCAAGAGCTACTTCACTCAAGCAGAGGGTTTCACTCCCCAAGGATGAATCCTCCATGGGCACACCTTTCACCAGAAAGCCACACAGCAGATGGACTCCTTACCCTGTAAGTTTTATCATTAGCCCAATTCAAAGTCTATTTTCTGAAGGTGTGACCACCAGCTTTATGCCATCACCGTAGTATGAGATTCCAGGTCCAGAAATAAACCTGCAATTTTCTTGGACTATATGTCAACAGAATGTCTGGTTTCTATTAAAGGTAGGATGGAAGTAACGGATCACAGCCCCTCCCCAGTGTCTGATTTAATCAGTTTCATAAGCGGAACTCAGTCGTCCTAATGCCTCCCAGAGCACAAGGGATTTTGGCAGATCCACACCCTTTCCGGCTTGGTCCCAAAGGACTCAAATTCTCTAGATCCTTCCCTTGAGAGCAGTTGCCTCACATTTCTCCATTACATGGTTTCGGGAAACCGTATAATGCAGCACACCTGGGAGAAGCAGAGGGAGGACGAGGAGAGCTCCAAGCGCGGCTGGGCTCCGCTTATCCCCGCAGCGCTCCCCACTCCATACCCGCGCAAAGTTCAGATCTCGCCCAAGAACAGGCTGGAGAGGCTGCGGCGGGGCAGGGAGGAGATGTTTGCTGAAACCCGAGTACGCTCCACGCTGCTCCGGGCACAGGAGCGCCGGGCGCCCTTCCCGGCCGGGACAGCCACCGCCTGCCCTGGCTGCGGGTGGCGGCGGCCCCGGGACAGCCGAGCCGCGGGGCCCGGGCGCGGGCGGCGGCGCGGGGAGCGACACGTCCCCGGACACCGACAGGCGCGGCCCGAGCCCCGCGGCGCCGAGAAGCGCAGCGTGGCCGGCGGGCCGCGGCCGCCCGGGGCGCGGCGGGGAGGCGGCCCCCGCCGCGGGGAGCCCGCGCGGCTCGGAACTCACCCAAGTCGTCCATGGTGCCGTCGTGCCCGGTGCCGGTGCCGCCGCGCCGGAGCCGCTCCCGCCCCGCCGGTGCCGCCGCCGCCCCAGAACCCGCAACTTTCCCGGCCCGCCCCCGCGCGCGCCCGCCCGCGCGCCCCCGCCGCGCGCTCCGCGCCGCCCCCTGCCGGCCGCCGCGGGAGCCGCGGGCCCGGAGCGGGCAGCGGGACCGGTGCCCCGGCTGGGAAACGGCCCCGAGCCGCGGGCCCGGGCGCGGAGCGGGCAGCGGGGCCGGTGCCCCGCACTGGGAAAGGGCCCCGAGCCGCCGCCCGGGCGCGGAGCGGGCAGCGGGGCCGGTGCCCCGGCTGGGAAACGGCCCCGAGCCGCCGCCCGGGTGCGGAGCGGGCAGCGGGGCCGGTGCCCCGCCTGGGAAATGGCCCCGAGCCGCCGCCCGGCCGTGTGCCCGCGGAGAAGCCTGTCCCCCTCGCCGGCGGCCCCACGCGCGTCCCAGACCGAGCGGGAACGCGACACGAGCCCCGCGCTGCTCCCTGCAGGAGCAGGACCTTCCCCAGGGGAATGTCCTCCCCGGGCAGCGATGCAGCCGCGCTGGGCTGGTTGGGTGGTGCGGGAGGGTTGTGCCCCAAAACCTTCAAACATTTCAGAGCCTCAGCTGATTTACCCCCTCCCAGGGAAGCTGGGCAGCAGAAACCTTTCCTGAGCAATTTTCCATGTGCTGTGGCCACCATAAAGGAAAGTCACCAGCTACTTCTCTTTTGCTGTGTCCAAAGACTATAACAGCCCTCCTGGATTTCTCATGTGATGATCTTGAACCATCATTTCCTACGTGCTTTTCCTTTCAAACCTCTATAAAACAACTGCAAGGCAGCAAAGTCCTCACTTTGTCTGAGCCACAGCACAGCTCAACCCTCACCAGAGCTGCTGTTTCCCACAGTGCTCCAGCCAAGTTGACATGGCAGTAAATGCAGTTGCTCAGCCCAAATGTCCACTTCTTAATCTGATGAGAGATACACCAAAAAATATCAGTGTGGGAACTGCCGAGGATCCAGGAAACATGACTCTTGTAGCTCTTTTCCTTACAAAATTACTACCAAGTCAGAGAATGTTCCCAGAACTGAACAGCACATGTCCTGTTGTTGAGCTGAGATTACGGAATTGTATTTCCATTAAACAGAGACCGTGAGGTCAGCTGTGAGCAATCTCCAGTGCTGCATTTTTCACTCTCTAGGCACAAACATGCCCAGTTTCCCCTGCTAGCACAAGTCAGACATCATTATTTCCTGTGTTAAGTCATGCTTTAATGGGAATTATCGTTAGGGGGGCAGGGAAATATCTCCTCCCTCATCCCAGCCAATACTTATGAATAGTCAAAAACCTCCAAGAAATTAATCCCAGCTTTTACTCCAAATACAGTTGTCAGAAAATAATATCCTTACTGAGATCTAAGTACAACACAAATGTAAGTAAAGACTTTCATTGCATGCTTCACCATCCATGCCAAAGATTCCACCTGACATCTCCCTTGCTGGTCTCCCTCAGCAAAAGGTAAAACATTATTTGGAGGGACTGTTAAAATTTTCTCAAAATCCATCACTGGCTATACAATGACAACATCAGGATGTGCATCCCCAGGTGGAGCAACATGAACCACTAGCGCTGACTGGTCACAGAGCAGATCAAAAGTCATTAGAAACGTGTCCTTTCCTGGGTCTGTATGTTTCCCCTACCAACATGTGACAAGCATGTGCCACAAGTTGGGTTGTATTTTTACCTCTGCATAAATAAAGTGCCTACTGTGCTCTGTTCATTTTGTAGCCTGGTATGCAATTTTTATTTTCAGCTTCCTACTGTGTCCTTTGGGAGTCTGGAAGTGAATGTAAATCAAGAAAGCAGTTTCTATTGTGTCTCAGGGCTGGAATTAAGCTGTCACAGAACCAGTTAGGGTTGCACTCACAAGAAATGGTTGTGTCTAAGATGCTCAGTGTTAAAAACAAAACAAAAAAAAATCATTGTTTCTAAAGCTTTGCCTATGGCTTCTTCACTGCATTGAAGGTGTTGGTGGGGTGGGAGGGCAGGGCTGTCCCATGAGTGATACTATCCTCTAGGCATCCTGCTTTTAAAACCAACCTGCTCACAGCCAGGTGCTGTTCATAACTGAATTATTCACACATTGATATTTCTTACTTAAAATTGCCAGTCCCTAACCCTCCCATGAGAGCTGGAGGAGTAGGGGCAGGTTAAAACCCCAGCTGCCAAGGCAACTTGTCAGTGTTGTGGGCTCAAGCTCTGTCCTTCCCAAAGCCTTGAATTCCTGTTTCCTCATCATCTACCTGTTCTTTGACTCAGATTCTCCCTGACTTATGAACACCTGCTTGCTGCTAGAAATACACAGGCCTTCTTCTTATGCTGTGCCCTGTGGCTGAGACATTTTGATCTACCCTTGTCTTTCACATAAGGTGTAACGAGAAGTTACCACCCCCATCTGCAGATGGGAAACAGGGCTGGGAACTGGAAATTAAGTTAGACAGTGAGTTAACATCAACAAAATGTTGAACTTTAGGGCTTCCTGTCTCCACACAATCCACGTTCAGAGTATTCCTGACTCCACACAATCTGTGTCCAGAGTACTTGCTCAAGGCATCTTTCCCTCTTGTTGCAGAGTCATTTACCAGTTACAGACCAAGTCCCTCAAAGGGCAACTTAACACTGACCACACACAAGACCCTCAGAGTTGATGGATTAACTGTCCTCCTGTGCCCTGTCATTTCAGACTGGCTGCCAAACAGGAGCGATCCAAGCTCATTTCATAATACCAGCAAAGAAAAGCATTGTTATTTGCACTCTGTGTCAGAGAAGAGAAATAAGGCTACACAGGCCTGTGAGCATGTTTAGAACTTACCTGTGCACTTTCCAGAGAGTGGCTTGAAACTGCAGAGCAATGGCAGAGCCTTCATTGCAGTGTGTGCCCTCTGTGCTGTAAAACACGAACATCATGCAAGGGGATTTTGCTCTTTCTTCAGGTGAATACAAGGAAAAAAAATTCAATCAGAGCATTAGGCTTCAGGCAATAGCAGTAAATCACAGCATGCAACTCCCACATTCGAGGTTCAACTTCACGTTTGTTGAAAGGATCTGCTACAGCAAAATGAACAAACTTGGTTTCTGGCATAAGATGTAGGACGTGACTTTGCAATGCAGATTGAAAGCACCACACCAAGGCATTATCACTGACAATTCTGGCAGCAAAGATGAGAAACAATCAAGTGATAAATCCAATACTTATCAACACAGTTCATAAGAATCAAGAAATTACCTGAAGTGTATGATTCACTGCAAACTACATATGCCTTTGCTATTTACCGGTGTGGCTTATTCTGCCAAAGGGTAATGGCATCCCTATGCTTCAGAGTTTGATTTCAATTGATATTGCTGGCAATAGGAACAAATGGGGGGACAAAGGCAATCTATGAGGTTTCCCTGTCACTCTTGGTCACCGTTGTGTATAATACCCCAGCATGACTGAATGTCATTTTAAAAAATAATAGTAATTCTTAAGAGACTGATGTTCACTACTAAGTTTTCTGTTCTACCAAAGTTTCAAGCAGCTGCCCAGCTCAAGGTCTAATCAGCAAGGTAGGAGCATCGGGATGGCACACGTGGATCTGATTTTCTGCCGGTACAGAGAATGTCAGAGGCAAGCTGTCAGCACCAGAAGGTACATCTCACTCACACAGAGTGACGGAGAGCAGCTGCTCTCAGCTGCAGCGGAGCCTCAGCGGGGCCAGTGTGCAGTGGTCATTAGTGTCCCTCCGCAGGGTCTGCCTAGCTGTTCAATTGCTGCAAATTAGGAAAGGATGCAGTTTACTTATAGGAGTTGACACCAGCAGCTGCTTTATCGAGAGCAAAGGCTTGTGATTTCTTTGACAATAAGGAGCATTTTTCTATTGTATGTTTTTTTCTTAAAGCAAGTGATGTCAATAAAGAACTGCACACAAAATGGAGTTTACAGTGCTTAGTACACTAAGTGTTCCCTAATGGGTTTTAGAGGACTCCTGCAGCTGGGGAAGCACGATTCAGACTTTCACTCCCCCTAGATTCCTCCCTGCCTGTTGAGAGGCTAATCTCCTAAGGATTCTCGTCAAAAAGAGCTACTCCAGAAACCTTTCTACAGCACCTAAGCCACTCACGTTTTCACTGACCGATTCCTTTTTCAGTAACTGAGAAAACAAGAAAGGAGCTTTTCACGTAAGAGCGCCCTCATTTTATTAAACCGCGGTTTTAGCGGCAGCAAGCCCGGGCAGCACTGAAAGAACAGAAGCCGTATTATCATCCGTGACAGCCCCCTCCAACCTCCAAGTAAAACACCACACAGCACAAGACAATCACCTTAGCTAGGTTTAGTCTATTTTTCACCAGACTATTCAGTCTCCGTAGAGACTGTCAAAAATTGCCAATGCCGACTATATTTCAAGTCGTCATGGCGGGGTATTGGGAAAAGTTTTCAATTAGCAATAATCGCGCCTCGGATTAACCTCATTGGCTACGATACTGCCACTGCGCAAAGCTGACTGGGCGTCCCCGCCGCTGCCACCACTCGCCCCGGGGCTGCCGCCCAGCTCACGGCGAGTCCCCTCGTTCGCCCACTCCCGCCTGCACCTTCCCAGCTGTGCCCCCCGCCTGCCCCGCGTCCTCCGCGCCCCGCCGGTACCGGGGCGCTCCGTTCTGCCCTCCGTTCTGGGCCCCCGTTACACCCGCGAAGGCTGCTGGGAGGGAATATGCAAAGTAAGCGTGACGTCACCGCGGGCAGCCCCGCGCGGAACGGGGACCCCTCCGCCCATCCCCGCCGTACCGAGCCCCAGCACCGCGGGCCGTGAGCCCCCGCCAGCCCCGAGCGGCCACAGGCCGGGGAGCCGCACCCCAGCACGGGTCCTTGCCGAGCATCCCCACCGCCTGCCCCAGCAGGAGACACGGCTGAATAAACTGAGCGCGCTTTTACATCAAGAGTTCTCTGCTTGTTTCAAAGGTGCTGACTGAGGAACGATCAGTGAAACTAGACTTGGAGTAACCAAAGTGCTGAGCAATCCCCATTTAAAGACCGAGATCCTCAACTCCGTACCGACTCAATTAACTTCGCGTGTCTATCTTTTGACCACACATAATCCGCCTCCGAAGAGGCTCACAAAAATTGCCATTGCCGACTATATTTCAAGTCGTCAAGGCGGGGTATTGGGAAAAGTTTTCAATTAGCAATAATCGCGCCTCGGAACACCCTCATCGGCTACGATACTGCCACTGCGCAAGGCTGCCCCGGCCCCGCGCCCCGCCGAGCCCACGGCCGTCGCGCCCCCGCCGCGCTCACAGCGGGTGCGGACGGTCCCGCCGCCCCCCGCCCGCGGCCCCCGCCCGCGGCCCGCGCCGCCCTGCGCTGCCCGGGGATGCACCGGGAGGCCACGGGGGGATGGAGCGGGAGCCGGCGGCACCGCCGGGACCCGCGGAGGTTGCCGGGAGGGCACTATGGTAATGAGCGCTGCTCGAGCCGGGGGCACGGACCACAAATCGCTTTTCCAGCCCGGGAGGGAGCGCACGGAACAAGGCGGGGCACGCTCGAGGGAGAAACGGCGTCTGCCGGGTGCCACCAAAGCAAAGTCATCACCCAACAGTTTAAGACACGTTTAAACTCCTAAAGTGTAAATAACTCAAAGTCGTTTAGACTTACGACGCTGCCCAAAACAAGGCTGCACTCCACACCTAAGCCCAGGGCAGAGGAACAGGCAGGGTGGCACTGCACACCAAGCGAGCAGGATGCGCTTCTTCCTTGTGATCACAGAATTACACATTGCTACACAGACACTCAGGCTCACCTGGTCTTTGAAATAACTGTAAGAGAAAAAAAAAAAATAGGATTAAAACTTTCTGCAATGTTTTGAACTGTTTAGCAAGAGCTCTTTGGTGAATGCATTCAAAAAGCAACCCAAATCTTTAGAAAGACCCCTTTGTCTCTAAGACTGCTGGGCATCCAGTGCATCAGGCTGCTACCATACAGCAGTCTGACCTTCCCTATATTGTTTGTTCCTCAGAAATATTAGCCTCATTTGAAAAAAAAAAAAAAACCAAAAAAAACCAACCAAAAAAAAAAACCCCAAACAAAAAAAAACCCAAAGCAATCACAAACACAAAACAAAAAAGAAGGAAAAAAAAAAAAAAACACAAAACCGAATGCAAACTCCTTATTGCCAGGCAAATGAAACAAATTATCAGGTGATTATTGAGACTGAAACCTGCACCAAGCAGAGAGGCAAAAACATGGGTTCCTGCCAGGATGCACAGTTAGCAGCAGACACGTTGGCACTGCCCTATTTCCCAGGCTACACGTGTCTTTAACAGCCCTCAGTGGACTTTTCTTCCATAATTTATTTAGTCACATTTTAAGCCTAAAACATGTTATTATCAGTTAAAAGAAAACACATCTTTTATAAGGACAAGCATCTACAATGCATTTTATCAAAGCTATCACACGCATTTGTATCAAATGAATTGGGATTTTAACCTCACACGTTTCTTTGAGAGCTGCTATGAAGCCCTCAGCGTTTCCATACTGTCTCAGGTGTTGGGATGTTGGGATCCCCTTTCGCTGCTCCTCTGCCCTCCTTTGACGCGTGGGAGTTGTAGTCTCTGTTTTTTTTTCCCGAGAACTACATTTCCCAGAGGGCTCCGGTTCCGGTAGGCCGGCCTGTCCTTCCGCGGCGGGGCGGCGGCAGCATGAGCGGTGAGTGCTCGGCGTTATCCCGGGTCGCGCTGCTTCCCGCAGCCGGGCCCGGTCCGGCTGGGACCCGTCCGGCCTTAGCACAGCACCGGAGACGCGCGGGGTCCCTTTGGATTGCTGGCCTGTAGCCGCTTGTAAGATTCTGTTTATCTTCTACCTTAACCTTGCCTGATCTTTTCCTGTGGAGCATCTTGGGTGTGTGCTAAAAACAAACTCTAGCCTCAGATCTCCGTAGGTTTGTTTGAAGAGTTTCAGTTGTTATGTAAAGTAGGTGTTTTGGTTGTTGGTTTTCTTTCATTTTAAAAGCAGCTTCGTATTTGACAAGAAACATTCAATCCTTTAACATTTTCTCTTCCATAGTCTTTACCTGGTTCACAGCAGCTTTCAAATGTATCTAAATGTATCTGTAATTTTTCTTTTCTCTCTCTTGTGGGCCAACCCCTATTACATTTCTGTTTCATTTTGCCTCTGAACATTTGCTTCTGAGAGATCTTTTGATGATAAGGAGCAAGAATGAAGAGTTTTCATCAGTTAAAGCAATTTAATTACCATCAAGCTGGCTTAAGTGCCTTTGGGGAGCGTTATGACACAAGTTACTCTCAAAGCAAATTAGTTTATTGGGACACTTTGTCCCTTCTAATTAATTCATATGGGAAATTAAACCTCTTTAGAGGGAATGCCCAACACAACTCCTGCTAAACAGCAAAACAAAGCAAAAATCATTGCAAACAGAATCACTGCTTAGATACAAAAAGCAATTCAGACTATGGAATCTGTCCAATCATCCCTGCATTTTAACTGATGATGACAAAAAGCTTTAAGAGCTGAAGACTGAGCCAAATCTACCCTTTGCTACTGGCAACAATTTAGTATCACCATGCTTGGAGCTCAACACCTAAACTTCAGATGTATCTAAGCCCTCAGTTACCCACCAGTACTAGGTCTTGCAGTAAATGGAGCAATATTTAAATACATCTGAAGTTTAGGTGTTCAGGAGATCGTCCCCTTTTATCAGTAAATAAAATTCTTCCTCTGTCTTCCACATCTTGTACAAGGCCCAGAAAAAATAGTTTTAAAACAGTGAAATGGAAAAAGAACTGCAGACTGCTGGAATGCCCAAACAAAATCAAAGTCCAAACCCATCCACTCATCTCAACAGGTCCCGCACACAATTCCAGGCTACTTAATCAGCAAAGCCATCCATCCTGCCTGTCCCCAGCAGGGCATGTCATTCCTCCCTTAAAGCAGGGTGTCCCTCCCATTCCTACCTGCCAGGCTGTTCCTTCTGCCCCAAACACTTTGGATGGTCCCTTCTCTCTCAGAAGGCCCCTGCCAGCAAAGCAGTGCCTGTCCAGCTTCCCACTGACTCTGGGGAGGTGGCACCCACAGAAGAGGAGGTGCCAGAGGCATTTAGACAGTGCCCTAATCATCTTCAGTCCCATTCAAGGCCTGTTCTGCACCAGGTCTTTGTAAAAAACAAAAACAAAAATCCAACCAAAACACCCACACAGGAGTAACTCCAGTCAAGGCCTTTGTTCAGGAAAAAAAACCAAAAACATTTCAAGGCTGTTTTTCTCTCCCTTCCTACAACATGTGTAAGAATGGGGTAAATATAAAAGATTGATTTGGAGCAGGCAGAATTAAAAATGCAGAACAAGGGTCTCTTCTGGGGAGGAACCAGCCAGTGCCTCTGGGGTGAGGTGCTTGGCTTTCCTACCATTTCCTCTCTGGCCTGCTGCATATACCTGGCAAAGACTTTGCATGCACAGGCCTTTCTGGGCTCTTTGCAAGTCCTCTCAGGCAGCCAGCCTCCACACCAGGGTAGAACAGCAGCAACCCTGCAAGTCAGAGTTGTTAACTTTGTGCTGTGTTCCCCTCTTCCAAAAGAACATACTTAGATGGTGGGCTTTAGTTCATGTTTCCAAAAGAATTGGTTTCTTTACTAAAAAGAGAGCAAAGAACACTTAACAGTGTAATGTCCCAGAGAATCCCAAGCAAATGGCATTAAGGACGTGCTTTTTGCTTCCTTTTACCTATCATGTGTTCTGTTCTTGCCTTTTAGCTGAACATGTTCTCTGCCAGGAAGTGGTCTGGCGTTTTCAGGGCTGTCAGACTGCATCATTTCAGATCCCGTTCTATATCCAGAGCCTCTCCAAACCTGACTTTCGTGCCAGCCTGTCTTCCCCCAGATCCTGCGGAAGTGGAGGAGCTGCAGCACTTTGTTTCTAACTCCAAGAGGCTGTTTGTAATGACTGGAGCTGGAATCTCCACAGAGTCAGGGATCCCCGATTACCGCTCCGAGGGCGTTGGGCTCTACGCCAGGACAGACAGACGGCCGATCCAGCACGCTGAGTTCGTCCGCAGCGCCAGTGCCCGGCAGCGATACTGGGCAAGGAACTTCGTGGGCTGGCCCCAGTTCTCCTCCCACCAGCCAAACAAGGCACACCTGGTACTGAGAGACTGGGAGAAGCTGGGCAAGCTGCACTGGCTGGTGACCCAGAACGTGGATGCCCTTCACACCAAAGCTGGGAGCCAGCGCGTGACGGAGCTGCACGGCTGCATACACAGGTACAGCTGCTGGCACAGGGCGGTTGTCAGTGGTGACTGACAGGCAGCTGCAGTGTCAGCTGCTGAGGAAGGAGGTAAAATGTCCACACTGCATTCCTGGAGATGACAGGCACAAAGGTGGTATTGGGCCGGGGTAGAGAAAAAGACCACAAGCCAGTGTTGTTCACAGCACGGTATTTAAGAAACATGACCACCACTCCATTTTTTGGAGCATTATTTGGATCCATTTCCCCTTTCCTTGGTACAGTAAATGTCCTCTTAGAAAACAGAATGAGGGGACCATAGGATATGTGTATTAGAGAAGGGCCATTACAGCCTGTCTGGGAACACCTAAAATTTCTAGATGAAAAAGCACAGCATGAACTGGGAGAGAGGATGCATGGCAGGGTTGAAAGCACTTCCTCTAGAGCATTCCTACAAAGCAATAGAGTAGAAAGACATCTCCTTGACCTGTACTATTTGGTAAATAAATGTGGAAAATCATGACAGGCCTCCTAAGGAACAAGATAGAGTCTACAGATCTTCAGCTGATATGAAGCTCTCCATTAAGACTTTGCTCTGAATTTCAGGGTTTTCTGCTTGGCCTGTGGAGACCGAATCTTGCGTTCTGAGCTCCAGGAGCACTTTGAAGCTCTGAATCCTACTTGGAAAGCTGAAGCGTTTGGTGTGGCTCCGGATGGGGATGTCTTCCTGACGGACGAGCAGGTGCGCAATTTCCAAGTCCCAGCCTGCCGTAAATGTGGTGGAATCCTGAAGCCGGATGTGACCTTCTTTGGAGACACAGTAAGCCAGGAAAAAGTCCATTTTGTACACCAGCGCCTGGCAGAATCGGACTCCATGCTGATAGCAGGATCCTCTATGCAGGTAAGTAGGTCTGCCTCCCAAACTGCATTCCTACTTTGCTGCTACTCTGCCTGAAATGATCCTTGGTGCCACAGCTTAGGACTACAAATGGCTTGTGGATCAGATCGGCCTTTGCAGAGCTTCTTTGTATTTTATTTTTACCTTGGTTGGAATCTGGCTCTATGGGTGACCTGTTTGGGCTTCCCTGTCACTCTCTTGCCAGTCTACTTCATGTTGCTGTAAATACCTCCATTCAGACCTCTCTCTGCTGCCTCCTCCATCAGGTCACAATTGTCCATAAAGACAAGATACATGACACAATTCATTCGTCACATTTTTTGACCTGAAATTTTCAGCCTTTGGTAGCTTTTTAGGCCTCATGGCACACTGTGTAAAATACCAGGTTTTAGGCCCTCTCATTCTTTATTCATTTCTCAATAAGAGAGCTGAAATATCCCTGCTGCTTGGTATCGTCCTTTGTATCACATGTGTTTTCTCCACTAGCCTCTTATCTATAAGGTAAGGTAGCTAAACAACAGGAGTTTCTAAACCCGTAGAAGCTTTTGTAATGGTGTTTATGTAAGATAATTTTTTTCTAGGAACAAGTTCTATTACATAAAAAAAACCTTACTCTTAACACCTCCCAGAAGGAGATAAAACCAAGGGTGCCTGATTGTGATTCTCTTGGCTTCAGGATACTGGATACAAATTCCTTGAGCTTGCACTTCCTAAGCTTATAATCCTCTGTACAGGAATGATTGAAATGCCTTAAGTTTGTTCTTGAACTACCTAAGCTAGGCCATGCAGGAACCATCAAAGTGCAGCATTTAAGTACCTGTGATAACTAATAAAAACTGCTGCAGAGATTTACTAAAAGACAAGGACATTTCCCTTCAATCTGCTCTGAAGTTTCAGTTTCTATGAAACTGCAAATCCTTCACTGAGAGAGGTTAAAAACTGTTCTATTCTGTGCACTCCTACCTGAGCTAAGTACAGCTGCCTAACATAATATGTATGTACAGCCCTTTTCCCATTGCCAACAACAACTATTTTATTTTATTTCTCTAACTCTTCTTTTGCCTAATTTGCCTGTAATTTTGTTTTGCAGGTGTACTCTGGTTACAGGTTTGCTCTTGCTGCTCGGGAAAAGAAGCTGCCAATTGCAGTCCTTAACATTGGGCCCACCAGGTTAGATCATTTTGCATCCTTAAAGCTGAATTCCCGCTGTGGAGAGCTGCTGCCTTTGATTGTTTGCAAGTGACCCAACCAGCTGAGCTTCAGTAGCTATCAGGATTAAAGTTATTTTTACAAGGTGAGTACCTTCCCTGGTCAGTCACTTTTCAGGGTAAGAATATGGGTTCCTAGCAAATGCTGAGACTGAGATGTACTCGCTGCACCAAAAAGTGGATGTAAATTTTAATCTGTAATTGGTCTGCTCTGATGGGCCATGATGCTGTTTCCCATCATCATAAACAAAAAACATAGTAAGTGCTAGCACTCCCAGGGAATTGGGTAGGAGTATCCAGAAGACTCAGTAGTGTAGAATTCAAATCTATTTGTTACTATCAGGAAACTACAGGGGATCATCTGTAGTTCCAGAGAACCTGATTACAACTGTTGCCTTTGCAACTGACAATTCAAAAGCTCTTCCTGATTGAATTGGTCCAGCTAATCCAAATCAAACACTGCTGTTTAAAATCATCAATTCAGTCGATAAAGCTTCTTTCTTCCTCAACTGCAGGACTGATCTAAGAAAGGGGAAAACTCCAATCCAAGAGGCAGCTGTGAGACGCAGTGCACAGCCGCTGAGGGCACCAGGAGAGGGCAGCAAGCCTCACACGTGTCAGCCTCACCAGTTCTCTCCACCGAAACCATCTCCACGTATCGGGAAACCGAATGAGGATGAAAAAAAAGTACTTTTCTGCCTTCCCTTGCCGTTTCAAACAGTGCCTTTTCATTCAGTGGGACAGGATAATTGAACTACCATGTCTGAGGAAAAAATACCTTTCTTATAATTACCCTAGGAGAAGGAAGGTACAGGGATTTTGACCAGGTAATTTGAGGCTGTAGCACAGGAGGGCGATGTGGGACTGCTGGGGGATCCAGTGTCACTGGTGGGATACTGTAGAGTGTGCAAAGAGGAAAAAGAGGCAAGAGGAACTGCAGTGGTCACTTTCAAAAAAAGAAGGTTCAAAACAGAAGCTGAACAAGAGCACTGCTTTGTAACAGATTATTTGGAAGCACAAGCTATAAGGCTGACATCTTCCAGCAAGGAGGGGAAGTCAGCATTTCTTTCAACTGTTGTTTGACAGGGTAAAATGCTTCTATCCAACCCCTTTAAAAATGAAATATTGTTGAAATCCCAGAGGAGTTACTTGAAGCTAATCTGACCAGCACTACTTTCAGTGAGGCCACTACATTTTCCAGAATGCATTTTTTAAGGCATTATTTAATTAATTAATAGCTGCAATTAAAATTGTTTAGAGGATTGAGACTATTTGCATTGTAATTTTCTCTCCCTTCCATGATTTAAGTACATTCTCAATAGCCAGTTTAGATTCTTCGGTTTTCCATTGCAAAAATGCAGGTTGTAATTACTAGCAGCTGATGAATTAAGAGAGAAATACAATTAAATCTGTACAATAGGTCTCCCTCAGGAGATAATCTCTGTTGAAAGGTGCAATTTCCACACTCCTAACAGGAAATCCATCACTACTGGGTAGTGATTTTTTGTTGATCCTTAGGACGGTATTGTAAGCTCTATCAAACTGAGTAAAATACAGAACCTGGCACAAACTAGAACACTAACTTTTTGACCTGACCTTCTTCATGAAACTACCACTTCCCCTCTTCTAGCTCTGAAGGATTTAATTGTTGGGGTTTTCCAAGTGCCCCCTCCTACTCCAAGTAACATGTCCTGGACTAATATTTTGACACGAACTGTAACAAGCAGTTGGAAACAAGGATGCCAGAGTCATCTGCTAAAAGGTCAAGTAGCAAAGCAAGGACAACTGACCACAGGATGCAAAGTTAATTTTTGCTTTGTTGTCTATTCAAATCCATGCCAGGAGAGAGCAAATAAAGCACAGAATCTAAGGCATACATAAGGCATCCAATTTCTGCAGAAGGTAGAGGGCATTAAGATGCATAAGACATTTCAAGATTTGGCTGTATTGTGTTAGAGGAGACAGCTTCACTTTGAAGCCGAGCAAGAACAGTTCAGGACTCCCACCTGCATTCTGCTCTCGTTGAATGGTGACTCCACTTTCCAATGACTCAGGTTTCTGCTGCTTGGCAGTGAGCAGAGCTCACAGATCTCTCTCCATCTTAAGCTGTTGTGTCTGCAGTACAGCTGTCCCACCAACCAAAGCTATTGCAGAAATCATGCCTAAAGCACAGCAGAATCTCCACATACACCATGTTTTCATGCAGGGGCTTTTCCTGTAAGAAAAGATGCTGGTGCCTCCTTAGCAGAGGAGCTGGGGCTGAGGTTCTCACTATCCACATCATCTTCTCCTCCTCCTTGAAACTTACACGACATTGGTGTGCCGAACCAGAGGCTGCAGGTTCAGTGCCAGTAGAGCCAGCATTTTGAGAAGGTGGGAGCATTGCCAAGCAGTCTAAAGTCTTGGAACAAGTTCTGTGACAGGTAACTAAACCTCCCACATCTACCCCTGCCTCCTCCAGTTCTGCAGCTGAGCCTGTGGGAGAGGAGTCAGGATGTCTCTTCAGGATCAGTCTCAGATGAGTCATTACTCCAATTCCCCATTGATTGGTACTTTTAAGTCACCAGGACAATGATTTAGAATAAATGAACATAACAGTAAATTTCCTGTGCCTGGTTTATTACTATATGGTAATGAGCATATCTACAACAACGATGAGACTGAGATGAAGTTCCTTCTTTTTTCTGCTAAGCTGGTCCAGCACTACTAAAATTGACCTCTTTTAGAACAGGATCAGAGCACTTCTTAACATATTCACCTTAACTTAAACATTAAATTTACTTACATGAGAAATGCCTGAGAGAGCCTAAAATTCCTACGCCAAAAGCCACGACATGAAATTAGCTGAATCAACAGCTTTTGCTCTTTTCTTTTTCTTACAACTGTTCCTCCTGAAGCTTGGATAGAGCAGCTGAGAGTATCTTGCAATGGATTTTTCTTCTGCTCCTCTTAAAGTGGGGTTGGAGTTATGCAAAGCAAATAAAAGTTACTTCCTATTTGGCAAATCTTGTCTTTGTTTCTGGGTAAATTTTCAGAGCAAACTGTAATTGAGTCCAGCAGTCTGAGGAAGGTATTTCACATACTGAGCTCCAGTGAGGGCAGCACAGAATGCAGGTGTCCCAGAGGTTTGGTGCCTGTGGTGTGAGTGCAGCCTCCCACACCTTACAGTCGGATTGCTCCTATTGACACACCTGCTTGTTCATTACTTCTGGAAAATGACCCAAAACCCTGGGCATGGAGAACTTGGGAGGTTCAGTGGGGAGTGGAGTGAAGGTGACTAAATCTATTATATAGAGTGTGTTTCTTCCCCTGTGACTGCCTTGCATGTCACCCTTTCTCAGCCTTTGCAGCAGACAGGGAAACAGCAAAGTCAAGCCAAATGGGCTTTAAAACCACTGTTCCAGACTGTTCCTGAATTCTGTGTGCAGCTCCTTGTCATCTTCCTTCCCATCAAGGAAAGGCACCCCAGTGCAGTTCTTCCCTTCTGCACCACTAACTAGACAATGGCAGAGAAAAAGAGAAGCTGAGCCTAAAGAGGACAACCAACAGTGTGTCTCGAATGGGTTCCAGGCCCAAACAGAAACTCACACAGGATCATTACCATCAGCAGAATTGTTTGCTTTCTGCATGTCTCACCTCAGCTGGAGCACTCTTTTTCATCTGTGCAATGCCCGTGTAGTTAAGAGTAATTCAGCTCTTCCTGCAGAGAGTGAAAAATCTTGGTATGGAGAAAAACAATAGAGAAAAGAGACTGAGACTTCACTTCTGCAGTGAGCCCACGGAGCTGCTCTCCCTCCAGCATCCTGGGGTCTCAGAGCTCCCCCTTGCTGAGCACAGGGATACCTTGTGTTCCAGGCAATCCCTTTCTGGTTTGGAACAGAAGTACAGGCCAGCATGGTAGATCTTCAGGCACTCCTTGAAATCCCCTACCCTGGCAGTTCAAGCAGTCACTAGCCCTGCTCCTACTCTTCCCACAATGTTCCTCAAAGCCCTAATGAGCAGCTTTGCACACCCCCTTCAGCCTCCCCACCTGTGCCCTTCATTAGGGCCTGACAACTCTGCATTATGTGGGAAGGCTCCCTATGGACAGGGAATGTTTGGATTTAATGGTGGGTCTTCCACACCATCAAAGCAGCATGGAAAAGAGAAGGGACCAAATGTAAGGGCAGGCTTATAAAATCTGTATGGAGTAAGACAGATATGGAATCAATTTATCTATCTATGGGGTTTATCTACAGAATGCTAGCATGTTCCAAATGCTGAATGCCAGAAGTATTCGCTCACCTCAGAGTATATACTGCTCACTTTAAATCTAGAGTCCTGTTACAAGCAAAATTCATACTAAGTTTCTGAAATGCTTCCCATCCACCCCAGCAATCTTCCCTACTTATGATAATACAGCTCAAAAGTGCAATGTTCCTTCCAGATAGTGATGATATTTTACTTTTTTCCTCTACAATGAAGTTTATCACAAAGGGATTTTAATAACATTTACTTAGGAGCTTTACTGTTCTACAAACAATAATTTCAGGGAATCTGAGCTAGTGAGTGAGAGAGACCTCATCTTGCTCTTCTAGCCCTATGAATGATTCATTTTGGCCATATGATAGGATTGCATCCAGGATCCTCAAGATTTCTATGGAGGGCTCCATGCACTCAATGTTTCCGGAAAATTCACATACACAAACACCTGAGGAAAAATAAGCAACAAAACAGGACTCAATCTACCATAAAGTGGAATGTCTGGCTGTGACACAATCCCCTCCCCTTTTCAAGGAAAAGAACTAAATGCAATTCTCTATCCTTTCTCAATATCATTCTAATGCTCTCAAAGATACATTTCAGAAGGAAGACATTGCAAGTACCTTCCAATAACATACCAAGCCAGCTTCGTCCTTCTCCATTTGTTTCTCATTTCCCAGAGCACTCTCACATCCTTGGGGTCTGCTCCATGTTTGGGAACAGTTCATTCTGATGATGAACCAGAACCCTCGTCATGCCCTGTCAACAAGCAGGGTGTGTGTGTGTAGACCTGCCCCAGGAGTTCACCCACACCTCCAAAAACATCTGCCAGCAAAACCGGTACCAAGGGTGGGGGACAGCTTCGGCACAGGACCTTGGCAGGGCTAGGATAGTGGGGCAAGATACTGTCCCTCAGAGGGGCTGCCTGCCTTCCAGGCTGACATTACCTCCTTCTCCGCAGCTCCTGACTGGAACAGGAAGCACACAGGAGACCCTCAGGAGAAAGGAGCACCAAACTCAAGACCCTCACACAGCGATGGCCCGGGGAAGAGGGACAGCTGCGCTGCGGCTAACGCGCGGGCAGCCCGAGGCGAGGGCGGCTGAGGGAATGCTTGAAGGGCGGCCTCTGGAGTCCCGGGAGGGTGAGGAGGGCGGCCGGGAGGGTGAGGAGGGCGGCCGGGAGGGTGAGGAGGGCGGCCGGGAGGGTGAGGAGGGCGGCCGGGAGGGTGAGGAGGGCGGCCGGGAGGGTGAGGAGGGCCGGGAGGGTGAGGAGGGCCGGGAGGGTGAGGGCGAGGGCGGCCGGGAAGAGCGCCCTGTGGAGCCGCGGGGAGCTGAGGGCGGGCAGGGACGCTCGCCCCGAGAGCCCGCGGGGAGCTGAGGGCGGGCAGGGACGCTCCCCCCGGGAGGCCGCGGGACGGTGAGGGAGGCCGGGAAGAGCGCCCTGAGGAGCCGCGGGGAGCTGAGGGCGGGCAGGGACGCTCGCCCCGAGAGGCCGCGGGACGGTGAGGGCGGGCAGGGACGCTCGCCCTGAGGAGCCGCGGGGAGCTGAGGGCGGGCAGGGACGGTGAGGGAGGGAAGCCGAAGCCGCCCCTCAGCAGCCCCCGCCGGTACCTCAGTGAGGGGCGGGGCACGCGGGCAGGTGCGCCCCGCCCCCGCCACCTCCAAGGGCCAATCAGCGAACGCGGCGGCGCCGCACAGGGCCGCGGGCAGAGGGGCGGGGCCTCCCTCCCCTCAGCGCGGCAGTGAGCGGCAGCCGGGAGTGCGGTTTAGGTTATTTATTTGTTTATTTGGTCCTGCGGCCGCCCTGAGGCACATGAAGGCGATTATTTGCAGTATTTGTCGGTGTCTAGGTGCTTGTGCTCGGGGTTGTAGGGCGCCTTGGCGAAGCACATGGCAGCGGTCCGGTCGCAGTTGCATATGAACGTGGCGCACTCGTTGTTCTCACCTGGAAGAGAGAGAGGAGCGGTCAGAGCCCGCGACTCCTTCCCCAGGCGCTGCAGTGGCTCGGGCGGGCATTTCTGTTGTCACGGTGTACCCTCTTCATTGCTGCCATCGTTTTGGGGATGCACAGGCTTCTGCCCACTAACCCACTGCCCCGAAAGCTCTGTGTTCCTGCCAAACATCTCTCTCCTTGCCCCTTTGCCCCTTCACTGCAGCCCTATTTGCCAACCTCTCTGCTCTTTACCTCCGTTCAGAGCACTGTAAAGTCTCCACTATTCATCAGAGGTTTCTGGCAGAAATTGTCTAACAATGCCAAGTTAACGTGCTGATGTCTTGGATACTGCCATTAGAAGGCCTCCCAGAAAAGTACTCAATCCCCTGAAGACTAAACAGGCTTCTCTGTATTCTGCTGTACCATATATCTTCACAAACCTTACATTGTGGATTATATAGAGAATACTCATTCCAGTGCCTGTGTGAGGTGCCCTCTTTCTGACAACCAGGTCCCCTGGCAAGAACTTGCACTGTGCCTTCCTGCCCCAGCGGTGTGAGTGTAACACAGCCCTGCTCTGTCCTATGAGAGGCTGGAGAACACCTGGAGTGAAATGGAAATGGACATACTGCTACACGTGATCTGCTTATCAGAGCAGCTGAAGTGGTACAGCTTAGTGTAGGGGTTGTCCAGGAGGAATTTGCAGGATTCCATTTTCTTTGCCTGTGTGTAGCAGTTATCATGTGCTTGGCAGCACCTGGGAAACAAGGAGAAAAATGTTAGAAAATACCAGAATCACAGGTTCAACAGACCTGTAAGACACACAAATATGTTAGATTTGCTTTGACAAGGCTCTTGACAAAAAAAAAAAAAAAAAGAAGATATCCAGCGATAGGAGGGCAGACACAAAGGACCTCAAAGGGATACAGTTGTGCCAGCTCATCATACAAGTACATATGTACTTATGGGAGCATCTTCACAGTTGTCTGTTGAGCACCAGAAAAGCAAAAGCCAATGTTTACACTTCCCCTCAGTGCCTGGTAGCTGACAAGCTCTCAGCCAACACAATCCAAGACTTAGCTACCAGGTTTGTGTGTCTCTAAGTTGCCCATGCCATTTCCTAGCATTTTGCAGCCCAGCCTGTATGTGTTGATGGCCAACCATCAGGCAGAATGTGCAGAGTTGCATCCATGCTGCTGGCCCAGCACTGTTGCAAAAAAATGCTGGAATGAGCACACTGTGCTGCCACAGAAGAGAAGAGCTACTGTAATTATATTTTATCTTAGGTATCAGAATCTTTTTCCCCTGAATCCATCTGTGAAAGAAAGCTTCCTTCACAGCAGCCAGAGAGTTTTGTTAACATTCATAGGCAGGGCCAGGTGAGATGAAGCTGAAGCAGAAAAGTACAAGCAAGGAAAGGGGTTTATAAAAGCAGTCTTGTAAACCTGTCAAGCTCGTCCACTGGAGTGCCGCTGCCCCCCAGGCCACAGTAGCAGCCGTAGTGGTTGAATTCCAGCAGTGGGTGGCTTTCGGGCAGGGTGCACTTGATCATTTCGCGGAACAGCCACACGGCCCGGGGCGAGACCTCGGCGCTGGCTGCGCCCACTGGGGAGAGACACAGAGCGTGGTTAGAGTCAGGTTCGGGATTACCAGCGCCAGGACAAAGGCACCTGCACCTACCTGACAGCAGGAAAAGCAGGACCAGGAACTTCATTCTCGCAGCTCTCGACACAAACACTGGTGCTAAAGGAAATGAGTCTTTATACAACAGGCTCACCTTGACATGGGTGTGAGATAAAACAGCCAGTATTTATGTTACTAAATGCAGATTTCTTCCATCGGAGACTGTGGGTGGCAGGTTGTGGCGTGACCAGTTGAAGGCCAATTGAGTTAAATCCATAAAAGCCCAAAAGGCAAATATTTGCTCTCTAGATTTTTGCTATTAAATTCTTGTAGTACTACTATTAGAAGTCATCCTGAAAGATCTGGATATTTTTAAGGGCTTGCTACTAAAAAATAATAGCAGTATGGTAGTTAAGTTGGAAGTTTCTGACACACTAATAACTACCTGCCACTAATACTTGCATCCTCTTTTTATGGTATACCACGTATCATTAATACTGTATCTCTCCATGGGTTCTCCTGGTATAATTCAGAGAATAAGATACAGGTTGCCCACTCACATCAAATGACCATTTGGCATGATCTCAACTGAAAAGAAAAATCAAGCTATTCTTTACTTTAAAACCACAGAGGAGAAGGAGGTTACTAATAGGCAAAAAATAGCAGCCAAGTGACCTGGAAAACTTTTAGGTGGCTTAAACAAGGAGTAGTATCTGGTTTTATGTGGCCTTAAGCAATCTACATTGGAAATAAACCAGGCTTAGAAGTAGACTTAAAAGCAGTTTCTCTTTCTCCAGCACCAATGCAGAACACATTAAGAACCTTCGGCTTTCTATGCCATGGGATGAGGAGAGTTGGGAACCTTGAAAGAAGCTCAAAAAAAAGGTAAGAAAATTCTTCCTGGAGTCAGGGATAAGTAAAAACACTGCACTCATATTTAGATCCCAGAGGCTCTGGCATTTTCAGGGCTACGGGTTTAGCATTTTTACACACTCAAGATACAGTTCCTAGACATGGTTGTCACGTCTGCATTGATTTCCAAAGCACCAAACAAACCCTCAGCTTTTAAGAGCAGAGGAGGACGCAAAGGCCACCTTTCTGCAACAGCCTAATACACCAGGGTGTTCATGCAGGAAGCTTTGGGCTCACATCCCACCAGTAGCTTCCAAAAGGGGTGATGAGGACACCTTCCTCCTCACAGGGTCTGAAACTACACCAGGGTACCCGCAGTACCCGGTGGATGTTGACATACCCATAGGACATCTAGGTAAAGCCAGAAATGGTGCTGAACAACCAGATCCATTCTGACTTTTTTAATCTCTTCCAGAGCTCCCCTTCTGGGGCTCCCCACTCGTGGGTTACCTACAGCTGAGCAGATGCTGAGTTGATTTAAGATTCTCAGTGTTCTAACCAAGTATTGAGCAAACATTAAAGGCTGATGTAAAGGACAAACTGTACCACAGTTAGTTCAGAAAAAAAACAATTTTGTCTTTTGCCCACAGATCAATCTGCCAACTTTCCTTTCAATATCCACTTAAAAGTTCTCGTCTTCTCTGCTTTTAACTTTTTAATTTTAAAAAAATTGTTTTCTTACCTGAAACTTAGGAGTCTGGTTCCTTTTAGCTCTGTTCTCAGTATCTGATGTATTATTGATGTTTCCTAGAAAGTTTCCAGTCAACTGTCCTTTTTAAAATCATAAGTCAACAATTTCCTACATTTTTAGCTCAACAAAAGGATTACCAAGTGTGGGAAAGCAAGCACATGAGTATTACAAGAATGCCTCATGAGAAAAATCCCAGCAGGGTAGATTTTTCCACCAATGCTATTTTTGGTTTCCCCCAACCTGTACTGTATACAAAGCCACTGGTCCCTTGGTACACTTGTGAGCACATTCCAACCTATAACTGGTTCCAATTTATAGGCTTAAGCCTTAAATTATTTTAAAGACTTTTTTTATAAGCCCTATTGCAGAGTTCCCTACTATCGCATACTATCAAAATTCTCCTTTCTCTCTTTTGTCTGTTAAGGACTTTACTCTTTCCATCTCCACATTTTACTTTCTTACATCCAGCTTCCTTGGTCCACCACAGTCAATTTAATCCAGGGTATGTGCTAAACCTGTAAGCACCACATTATCTCCTTTTCTGAACCTACAAACTTACACAAAACCTCTGTAATGCAAAGAGACTCTACTAAAACTAGATCTGCCTCACATTATAAACTGGCCACTGCCAAAGTACGGGAGCAAAACAACAAGTCAGAGGCCTGCCTGGGGCTTTTATCCTTAAGGCAGGATGCAACTCCTGCAGGTCCAGAAATCTCTCCCACTGGAAAACCTCATGCCCTCAAATAATGACAGAGAAGGACAGTTTTCAAATAATTTATTAGGAATTTAAAACTGAAATCTGGAAAAAGGGTTACAGGTGTGGAGAGAACAAACACTGGAGTGTAATAACTTACTGGCTTAAAAACACAGCTTTATTTCTTTTAAAAAAAATGCCCACCCTGAAACCAGAGCCCCAGCCTCCAGGCAGTGGCCAGAGAGTGACTCACAGCCCAGCAGCAGCACAGCTGGCCCGGGATGTCTGGAGGGGGCACGGAAGCAGCTCAGCGCATACACCAAGAGGGAGGAAAGCGCTGTCCGCAGACCCAAATTTGAAGTATATAGAATAAAAATAAACCCAATAAAATGCAGCTCTTCTTTAATTAGGAAATATTTAAAAAAACAGACATACAGACTCTTGTCTCAGTAACAAAAATTATTGCTTTGTGTTTTCAGTACTGATCTGTTAAGTACCTTCTTACCTAAACAGAACTCTCCAAACGCATCGCCCAAGTCAGGACAAGTTCCAGCAGACGGGGGAGAGATAGAAGAGAAAAAGGGCCCTGTGGGCACTGTGGCCCTCCCAGTCCTTTTCTAAATGCCCATCTCCTTTACAGGGGCTCAGTTTGGGGGAAGAGAGGGAATGATTTTTAAAACTTAAGATGAAGCTTTTATTTCCCTGGGAAAAGAGTTTGGCTGCATCTTAATAAAAGGCTTAATCACCCCCCTTAACAAGGTCTTTGGTTCACTGAAATCCAGACCCAAACCTGCCCCATGTATTCCTGCTGGAGGCCTCCCCTGGCAGAGTGATGGTTGGCAGAGGCCTGGACCATACCAGGGGAAGCCCTAGCAGGTTCTGGAGAAGGGACCAGATCACCCCGCACAGGACAACGGACAAATTCCCACAGTCTTCAGAACACAGAGTAAAGCAAACGGGAAGCTGCAATTCTATAATTCATATAATCCCTGAGAAGCCCTTAACCCGCCCCCAAATCACCACCCTAATGCTTTTCTCCCCTGTTAATGAATCCCCATCCCAGAGCCCTGCCCTTCAGAGAACGACTACCCAAATCTCCCCTGGCTGACACCCCTTCGATACCCTCGCCTCCGGAGGAGGATCCCCTTTCCCAGGAAATCTTGACGCAAGCGATAAAGTTTGGAGAGTGAATTCCTTTCAAAGTAACCAAGACAAGCAACAGCGGCAAAGCCCTTTCCCTAAGCCAGCCCAGAGCCGGTGCTACGGAGCCCAGGGATGGAGTCTGTACATCAAGCAATTGGAAGCAGCTTTAACCCGCTCAGCAAAACAGCCGATGGCTGGTACGTTTCACCCCGCCCGCCCCCCACCCCCCTTTCATCTCATCAGAGGTCTTAAAATCTTACAGTAAAAGGTGTACAAAAAAAGAACAAAGTCCTGTCAGGATTCTGCTGGAGAGTATTGCTCACGCTGCGGCACCAAGTCCAGGACCTGGAGCTGCTCCTTGGAGCCAGGCTGCAGGCAGCAGCCAGGTTCAGCTCACGATATTTACATATAATACAGGAGGAAAAAGAAAACCCCACATAAAACTAAACCTAGGAAAAAAAAAATCTTTCAGCTGTAAGGATAGTGTTTTTCACTTAGCAAAATATACATTTGTTTTGTTCCATAGCGATGTCCAACGTTTTCGGATCCTTGGAGTTTCACACTTTTCAAAGCCTCACATTTACAAAACAGAAACATTTAAAAACAGTTTCTTTAAAAAAAATAGAAATACAGCAGTTCCTCTCAGCCTTTGCTCTCTCTCTCTGTCTCTTTCTTCCCTTCAGAACTGCATTCTTGTTACATACCGTGCTTTAAAAACACTGACGACAACAACAACAGAGTTGAAAATATTCAAACAGTTTCAAAGCCAAATAAAAATACTCCTCAATGAAAACTACCTAACACAATCACAAAGCCAATTCATAAAATATGTCTACTAGCTCGGGAAAGAGCAAACAACAAAAAGAAGGGGCAGCCCCCAAAAAAGATAAAAAAATAAAATAAAAAAATAAAACTAACAGCTAATAAAATAAATAAAAGAAGAATCAGTGGGCTGGGGGCAGGGAGGGGGAAGCGTAAACCGTCGGTGGTTAGTAGGAAAGCGAGATGATCTCCTCGGGTTCAGTCCAGTGTGGTCTGGTCAAAGGGAGAGATCGGGCAGGGCGGCAGGAGCCTGGCAGCCAGCCGGCAGTGTGCAGTTTGATTCAAGAGAAAGGTAACCTTGGCTCATCCCCCGAGGCTCACCAGATCCTCCAGCCACGCGCTGTCCTCGGTTAGGTCACTGGGGAATCTGCGGGAAACAGCAGGGGAGGGAAGGGACAGGGTCTAGAACAACCACAACTTTCCTCCTGGGGTTTTCTTCTGGTGTGATCTGACAGAAACACCCAATAGCCAAACTTTGCCCCAACACAGTCTGGCTCTTCACATGGCTGGCAGAGGGACAGGGCATGGCACAGATGTTTCTGTCTCCAATGGCAATGTGCAGGCCTGGGAAACCAGTCCCACACACCATGTGGCCTGGTCCCTGTGAGGGCTGGGACATAGCAGAGTCCAGTCATTTCCCCAGCACTCAGCTCAGTCCAGCCCTGCCAGGCTGCCATGGGCTCCTGTCTGTGGACATTGTTCCCTCCAGTTTTTGCCCTCCTTTTTAAAAAGATGGTTTTTAACTTTTTTTTTTATTTTATTTTAAATGTTAAGCCAGCTAACTTCAGTCACATTTGCAAAGCAAAGACTATTCACTAGTTCCCTCTCAGCCAATTCAAGGACCAATACCAGAACTGATCAGATTGTCCTTCTGCCCTTCTCCCAGGTAGGAGATGAAAAACTTCACTTCCCAGAGACTGGTCTCAGCAGCAGTGAGAACAACCAGCTGCATGGTGGAGGCTTCCCCAGCCACACAGAAGAGCCAAGCTTGTCTCTCATATCACCACTGGGTTGTGACTCTGGCCAACCCGGCAGATGTTCTCTCTTTTTGTCAGTGCTTCATTTTCTTCCTCTTTGTGCTAGTCGCTAAGACACTCTCCACTCCCAGCTTGGGGAGCGTTCAGTAGGAACCCAACCTGCCAAGCCTCCTGGCTCAGGAGAGAGCTCAGGCTGCCCACAGGACTCCTCCCACAGGCTGGGCCAGGCCATGGAGCCTCCCCAGCAACATTCACAGCTTCAGCTGAGAGCCGGAGCACAGGGACCAGCTCAGAACCTCACTCCTCTCATTACCTGCTCCCGTTCAAAGCTGTCTTACCTCCTGCCTCCTTGGTTCCCAGCTTCAGTGATACCCATTGGTAAAAGCTGTTGCAATCAAGGGACCCTGTGAAGAAAGAGTTAAAACCTCACTGTTAAACAAAAGAACAGTGAAGAAGAATTGCTAACACAACAAATTCAGTCATGGCCCAGATGACAGAGTAAATGTTTTCACTTGGAGGTGCCAGATCTAAAGATCACATCGCCCTGCAGAATGCTGTATCAGGGCCAAGATGGGCTCTTGGAAAGCCTGAGCTAGATCAGGGAAAGGACTGGAGATCAGGACTTTGTGTGGTGATCAGAGAGAGCCAGCAGAAACCAAGCATGTGGGCTCCAAGCAAGCTGCTGCACTCTGCACCATCCATCTAGGTCTGAGGCTCAGCAGTAGCACAGCCAGTCCTGTAGTTGGTGGTATTTCCTAACTAGAAAACAGACTGTGAGCTGAGGGGGCTCCCTGCTGCTGCTCACCTCCCTCACCACATGGAGACAGAGCGCACTCCCCATCTCCCTCCCTCTGCAGAGGGCGCAGGGAGCACTCACCCCTAGGCTGTGTCCAAAGCCGGTGCTCGGGGCCGGACTGGCAGCGCTGATGTAACTGCTGACCCCTGAGTCCTGGTTGGCTGCTCCATAAAGCTCTGCCATCGGCCCGGGACTGGTGGTGCCCAGAAACCCACCGGTGCGACTGGGGGTGGAACCTACAGCAGACAGCAGAACTACGTAGTGAAGATCCCAAAAATGCAACCCCGTCCCACCCCCCTCCCGCAGCCCCTTGGCAAACCTCTGTGGCAGGACCCGTGCTGGGGAGGAAAGTGGAGTTACCTGTCCCTCGCACCACGGCCGCTGCAGCCGCTGCTGCTGCCATCGGTCCATACGCAGTGAGGGGGATTGCTGAAAAGAAGGAACGGGCATCTCAGGAGCACTGTGGCTACATAGGAAACGCCTCAAAGGGAGCCTGCATTTCCTACTGCAAAATACTGGGCTCAAACATAC